ACGTAGTTAGGAATCTCCGACGAAAAGATCTATTCAACTCGCTAGAGGAGGCATTTCGGTGATCCAGATAATACGTGTTGAAAGACGGGGGTGGTGAGAGGTTGATAAAGAGTAGAGATTTCCGTTTCATTGTAGCAAATAGCAATAGTCAAAATTACTTGAGGGGGGGGGTAACGCGATCGGCTGCGACTTACTATCGATTGTTTTCAGTAGAATAAGTGGTCTTGTATAACTTGCAGGGATTAAGGGAAGGGTAAACCATCAATAAAGGGAGCGCAGATACAGACAAATGTGAGGAGTCTGCCAGTCGCTGGTTCTGCTCAACTACCTTTGCCATACGCGGGGTATACATTTTTCTCCAGGTACTTGGGAGTATGGGGGTAGGTAAGCTGGGGCGGCGCGCGGTTCCTCCTCTCAGCTACCTTTGCCCTAGGCAGGGTATACATTTTACTTCAGGTAATCGGAGGTGTGGTAGGTGGGGAGGATTAGCCGTTAACATTGAGGGAAGAGTTCGAGATGTGAGGAGCACCTGCTCAGAGTTGTGGAAGAGGTGCTACGATGGGGCTGAGCGGTCATTTTCTCGCTTAAGTCATGTTCTGGTCTCTGTACCCTCACTTTTTTTTTGGTTCTTTGGAAATGGGCAGCCGCAAGTAAGAAACGAGTATTTCTAGTTCCAGTGGTCCCTGTCAATGAATTCATACTGTTGTTTGATTAAATGGTTCAGCTGAAAGTTGTCGTATCACATCCACTGGAGGATCTTGAAGTTATTGTGAATATTTATTATAAGGGCTTACTTTAATAAGTTACTGTGAGACTTGGCAATACAGTTCCCATTCTGTTGTTTGCGTTTTTCGCAAACAATGTCACGAATATGAGACCGAATATAGACAACAAAGTAGAAGTGTAGAAAGCATAGGTGTAGTGGTAGTGGTCAACGAGATGTGAAGCATAGATGGGCAGTAAAAAGTGAGCGATCCATTGGACCATTGAAGCAAGCCCTGTGGCTTTGCCCAAATCCGTAATCTCGACAGAGCTGAAATATTGTTATTAGAGTTATAAGACTACCAACAAAATAAGTAAATAAATAAATGAACGGCACTATTCAACTATTACTACCCCAGATTTCCGGAAACGGGCCGGATTTTGATCGACTTTTTTCTACGGGGTGGATTTGGCTGAAAGTTGGGTTCTAGGGGTAATTCGACCTCCTGAACACGAATATCACATCCGCTCCTCTCGAAACCCCTTGGCGCCCGGCGCCACAGGCGCCGGCGCCAAAGTACCCTGGATCACGAAATCCGCTGAAAACTTGCACCTAGGGGTAGTTGACCTCCTTATCACGAATATCACATTCCCTCGGCTTGAAACCGCTCCGCGTCCGCGCTACGGGCGCCGGCGCCAAAATGCCCCAAATCACTGGCGCCTATGGCGCGAGAGCCAGGCAATTTCAGGCCAAGTGGATGTGATATTCGTGTTCAGGAGGTCGAATTACCCCTAGAACCCAACTTTCAGCCAAATCCACCCCCGTAGAAAAAAGTCGATCAAGATCCGGCCTGTTTTCGCAAAACTGGGGTAGTAATAGTTGAATAGTGCCAAATAAACAAATAAATGGTTAAGTATCTCTGAAGAATGAATAATATCGAAGAATACTGTTATTAGGTGATAGGGCTCAAAGATTTATATTTTGCTCATTTCATTTGCTTAAAAATACCTAGCAATTTTTTCAATAACAACAAGCACTTTGAATGAGGAACCTCCTGAGTTGCATTCTATCCAGCTGTTATGCAGCTTTACAGGGTATGGTGTAGTGGCAGAAGTCACCAAGGAAAGCAGTCAGAGAATCGTGCCCAGAAAGGCTCCCATCCAAGCCGACCAGGACAGCCGTACGGGTACGGGCATCCCTAGGGTCGGCTACTTCACACTAGACTCGCTTGGGTTTATAGGAACACTGACTTGTCTATCGGTGAGCTCTGGAACGTCATTTTATAGGCCAAATTACCTTTGGAAACCGATGCGATCTCGAATAACTGTAGAACGCATGGCGAATCCCAGAGAGAATTGATTAACGTTGGAACGTTGGGCTCATTAATTAAACACGAGCTTCACCAACTTCACAGTCTCATCTTTGGTTGAAGTGAGAAAATGATGGATTTTATGAATACGACCGAACGTTTCGCACACATATTAAGGACAATGGGAAATCAAAGCAAATTTTTTGCTGCATTGATCGGTCGCGTCAGCTTTGAGATGGCTTTCATGAGCTAAAATGAATATGTTGGTGTCCCCCGTTACATCGGGAACAAAAATATGGAAAGCCGTCAAGTTTTTTTTAATTGCGTGGTCGACTTATTCCTTTTAAAGCCTTAAAAGACTGTGTACATTAGGTCCGGTTTGCCATTATAATATCAGTTCTGGGTTGAGCTTGTGCGTCTTATGGTTAGCACTTTTTGTTGTTCCCGATTGATCAGGATCAGTCAGAATCCAACATGCCGTTTCTTCAAAAGCCCAACTCTTTGAAATATGTGGACTTTCAATCCCCAAATGGTGCAAAAAGAAAATCAAAATAAATAAATAAGTAATGGATAATAGACAATAATAAACAATGCCAATGATAAAAGTGGAGATAAAATTGATCGCAGATAAGTTTATCTGAACATGGATTCTTCAGTTTTCTATAATATGTCTAATTGTACATTTTCAAAGCGTTTCGGTATTTTTGCCTGTTTTGTTTCCAAAACAGAAAATTCTTTTCGTGAAAAGGCGAAGAATCTGTAGATGTGGAACTCCGAGAGCGGCTCCATGGGGCAAGATGGTCTCTCGTATGAATTGGCCAAGGAGCCCACCAACCATCTTTCAGGACCTTGCAGTACTTTTCATAAAGAGTTTCAATAATTTGCTATTTAAAATTGGACATATCCAGAGAGAGAGAGAGAGAGAGAGAGAGAGAGAGAGAGAGAGAGAGAGAGAGAGAGAGAGAGAGCAGTGTGAGGTGGAAGGCTACCGATAGGTGAGAACGAATGTTGTTTGAGCAATCCACGTAAGGGGTCCTATTAACGACCATAGCGTGGCTGAAAGGGTAAGAAGAGGGGAACGTAATGGGGCCTAGATAGCGTCCCTAAGGTTGTGATATCACTGAATAATCACTCAGAATGATGGTCCAGTTGAAGAGCTTCTCTGAAAGACGTCCATGCATGTGAGGTCTAAACTATGTGGGTGGAAAGGAAATCTTTAAGCGAACGTTTGCTGGTTTTCAACCAGCACCAATTTCTTTTTTCTTTTCTTTTTTTCTCTGACTGCACTTAGTTCTTCTGGAGAGGATAAGATCATCGGCATCAATCTATCAATTAAGGGTTGCGCCACGCGTTTCATCAAGACAATAGAGGAATTTTTATACGATGACGTGTTTGGAGCACTTCGGTACTTCTCAGAGAATAATGCGATTTATTGCCAGCAAGCGTGATAGGCTCCCTTTTCAGAGTAATGTGATTAATTCTCAGCAAGGATGAAAGGCTCCCCTTTGCCTGAACATTTCTCGATAGACGCGCATTACCTGAGTGCAGTACAGGGGCCACGGTTCTTTTTTTGATCTCATTTTTGAAATCACCCGTCGGTTTCAGCGATTGCCTGATTACTGGACATTAAAGAACTTGAGGAATTCATTGTCAATGAAGTCGGAATTTCGCTGACACTCCGTCTCAATCGACTACTTTTCTTAAGTGACCGGGTTCGCAAGCGAATTCATCGCGCGCAACGTTCTTGTGGAAATTCCTTCGCAGGCGTATCGAAAACTGAGTATATTTTGAGGGGACACAGGGGAACTGATTGAAATTCGCAAAACTGTTATCCGTCTATGTGTAGGCCGGGTTTCAGTGGTATCAGTGGTGGAGCGATGCAGGTGTGACTACTTTGAGATAGTTTAGGTACAAGACGCTAGAATTTTTGTTGATAACTTTCGGAACGCGAGCTGCGGCTTAAGGACAGCAGTGATCATAATGAAACAACTAGAATTTTCGTTTTGAAATCGAGCGAGATGGGCTATCATAAGGGTTTCAGCCATGGCTATTTGTCTTGTACGCTGCGCTATACTTGATAGTGCAAGCCATGGTGATGGTTTGACAAGTGAACATTCGACATAGCGAGCTTTGAAGCGGTACTCGAGGGGTTTCTGTGAACAGTCCTGAGCCCATTCAAGTTGTAGTGGACGCTGCTGTAAAGTGCACGCGGTTTGGCTAAGTTTTCACCCGGTATCGTACGATCGGATACTATGCGCGTTATTTCAAGGGCACAAGTTTTTGAGATAATACCGACGCTCGGATCGCACTATCCTACAGAAACATCACGCAGTTGATTAGTTTCGCATCTTATTGATCAAGTGCACAAGTATGTAACCGGAAAACTTGAAGGAAAAATCAAATTTTCATCTAAGTTTTTCTGGAAAATATTCGTCTGGAAAACGTTGGATGAAGGTTTTATTGAGAGGAATACAAGGAAGGGGAAGAGGGAGAGGCTAGAGAGATGGATAGAAAATGCCGAAGATTTGTGTGACCAAGTTGTTTTTTCTGGGATACACCGGAAAAGAAAAAAAATGGGTAGCATCTTGAAATCTTGAAAGATTTCGGTAAGGTTACAAGTTTTTCGGGCACTAGCAGCCTTGGAGGGAACGTTCGGGAGGCTTCTTCTGCAGGAATATAAGTGGTAGAGGGAATAAGAACTTTTGTCTTAGCCTGAACGGAAAAAGAACCTCCAGTGTGGGTTAATTAATTTCAAGTATGGTAGTTCTGACTGGATGACGTCAACCCTCGTCTCGTTAGTTTTGTAAAAGAAATCCATCAAGAGCTCCTAATTTTATTAGCGCCTGGTTTTGTTGTTTTCCTCTACATTACTCAGTGTTGTTGCCTACCACTCTAGTACTGCTTACGTAGTGAGTTCAACATAGAAAAGATTAGGTGCAAATAACTAAGAAATAATTTCAAAGTAACCAGATACGATTAATAATGGTGTCAGGGTACAGGTCTGCCAGGAACAGTCTCCTGAATTCTATTGTAATAGAAGTTCGCACTCTATCCTGTTCTGCTAGGTCACCCA